CGGCCTCCGGACAGTCCAAGCGAGCGCCAAGGTGGCCCAACAGGGCCTTGATATGGCTCCAAGAGATGCCCATGACGGCCCAGGACTGCTCCAGGACGCCCCCCAAAGCAATCCACATCGTGACCCGGTCGTTGAGGGAGCCCCGGTTCGCAGCAAAGCGGCCCGAGGAACCCACCAGAGGCTTCCGAAGGGAGCCCCAAGAGGCCAAAACCGTCGAATTCCTATGGAGAAACACATTTCTAACATGTACGGGTTTTGCGCCTTCCGGGATTCAAACACGGACCAGGACGCCCCCTAACTGTTCCAACCGGGCCCGAAAGGCCCCGACGACGGTCCAAGAGGGCCCCAAATCGACGCAACAGACGCCCAAGACAGCCAAAAGAAACTCCAAAACTGTCGCCGAAAGGCCCCAAGGACTCCCACAGAGGCCCTCCGCAGGCTCCAGCCCACCCAAGAGGCCCAAGCCAGGCTCCCGAAAGTACCACAATAGCTTCCAAAAGGCCTGCTGGCTTTTACGAGCTCCCCCAAGAAGCTTCCGAAGAGAGCCTCAAGAAGCCACAATCGTCGAATTCCTGAGAGAAAACGTGCGTTCCTAAGATTTACGGGCCGTCCTGCCCTCCGTTTTTCCCTAGTTCCTGCCCTCCCTCCCTCCCTCCCACCCTCCCTCCCGCCTTCCCTCGCTCCCTCCCCCCCTCCCTCCTTCCCTCCTCCCTCCCTCCCACCTCCTCCCTCCGTCCTCCCTCCTCACGCCACACTCCTCCTCCCTCCCTCGTCCATCCTCCCTCCTTCCATCCTCCCCTTCCCTCCTCCCTCCTCTCTTCCTCCTTCCTCCCACATTCCTGCTTCCTCCCTCCTCCCTCGTCCCTCCTCCCTCCCCTTTTCCCCTCCTCCCTCCTCCCGTCCTCCCTGCTCCCTCCTCCCTTCTCCATCCCCTCCCTTTCCTCATCCACTCGTCCCCCCTCACAACACAAAGCCATTGCACCAGAATGCCCTCACGTTCTGAGCAGGCCCTTCTTCCAGCGTTGGCGACTTGGCGCGACACGCGCGTGCCTACCAGCCAGCGACTGGGCCGCCTACAACCACACCGGCACAAACAGCAACATCCCAGTGTACGTGAAAAACATCGAACACGAGAAGGTATGCTTGGAATGTGCAGACAAAGCGGGGCGGGCACAAACGCGTATACTGAACCTGTGCCCACCTCAAGCACGAGACAGCACGGCGCTGCTACTTCATTTTTTACACTCCCCGGTCTCCTTGCGCATCATCTACGACAACGTTGATGCCATTTCTGCGAGCAAGAGAGTGGTCGCAAAACTCAATGTGGTTCTCCACAAACACACCGGGCACCCGTCCGAGCTGCTTGGCGACAGCTTCAACCCGTGGAACCTAAAGAAGGCAAGGCTTGGCCAGCTGGGCGCACCCAAGGCGGCCCGGGAGTTGCGAAAGATTGCCGCTAACAGCAGACGCTTCTTGAATGCGGTGTCGGGGTTGGGGAATGGTGGCGGCATTGTGTCCGAGCTGTTTGCAGCGTCCGCCGAAGATTTGGAGGGCGTGCTCGCGGCTTCTCCGGGCTGGGGGAGCTTCAGGGCAAAAACTGCTTTGCGCATTCGGCAACCTTCCTCGCGGTGCCCCGACCACGGGCGGCACCGGAAGACACCCGCAGTGGTGCTCGCCGGGAGCGGGCCCCGCCGCGTGGTGTCCCAACGTCTGGGGACCACCGTGTGGGCCACGGGAAAGCGGGGCAGGCCGGTCCGCAAGGTCGCCGCGCTTCACGCACAAAGCGCTGCCGGCCTGCAGCTCTGGACCGTCCTCCTTCGCCAGGCTGGAGCTGCGCGCCGGAAGGCCTTCGTGGACCACAAAGCTGCGACTCTTGCCCACTCCGTCCCCGACGTGGTGCGGCGCGTGTATCTATGCGCCTTCGGCCCCGCCCGCCGCCGCTTTTGGACGTGCCGTGTGGATGTTCGGGCAGCGGCCTCAACGGCCAAGCAGACAGCACACGAAACGGCCAATCCAGCAGCCAACAACGCAGCGAACCCACTCCCACGAAATAGGCAATCAAAAACAAAACGACAGCGCAAAGAATTGTGAAAACACAATTACATACTTCACCGCACCCAGCGGCGCGGCGGCGGACTCCTACTGCGAAAAAGCCACCCTGACGGACTACGCCACGCAGTTCGTCTTCTGCGAAGAGTCGCAGCTGTTATCCCGACTGGGAGGAGCCGCGCTTGAAGAGGACGGAGCAGGGGAGAGCGACGGCGAGGACGTAGCCGCGGGCGCCGACGAGCACGAGATCGACGCCGCCGCTGCGGCGGGAGGGGCCTGAATTCGCGCCGTGCGCTTGCTGGCAGTGACGCAAAAACTCAACCTTTCCCCACTCCCACCAGGGTCAACGGAGCAGAAGTCAGAGAAAAAAGTGGAATGTTTTTCAGACGAGAGGCTGCGAAACAAGATGCACGGCGCGAAGCGCCAGTGCAGTCTTGTATCTCTCTCTCTCTCTCTCTCTCTCTCTCTCCGTCCTCCTTCTATTTTAGGGGCCGCGCCAGCTACGCGTGGCAGGCAATATATATATATATATATATATATAATATATACATATATATATTATATATATATATATATATATATCCCCAGAATGATACGATCCAGGACGAAATTGGGGCGGGTATCGAAGGTTTGGGGGTCTACAGGTTTGAGTGGCGCGCGAGCGACGAGGAACGACACAAATCTTTACATGATGGTTGTTGAATTCTCATCCCGAGCCGCGTCCGTCTGACCCCCAACAAGATTCCCATGACAAGCTCCAGAGCAGCTGATTCACGTCCGTCTGCTCACGCAGCGGCTCGGGCAAGCCACCGCCGCCCAGCGGCGCAGTACTGGCAAGGGTCCCGCGGCGAAGCGCCAGCGATCTGACAACATGGGCTGGCGGAGTGATCGATCGGGGATGGACAGAAGCCCCTTTACTCAAACGTGGTTTAGTGAAAACGACCTCGGGCCAAGCCTGGAAAATGACGGCCGCGGCGTCCCCTCGAGAACCGAAAACGGACAATTCACTACGTAATCGACGTTTCAGGGTGGGGGTTCTGTCCACCCCCGAAAATGATCATTTCTGACTAAGAACTGTTGTTGATCCCCCCTCCAGTGCACATTGTATTTTTGGATTGAAATGTGCCTCAGGCTTTGCTGTTGCCCCGCTTTACTGCAACAGCGGCTCCCGCCTGCTTCCTCACAATGTATTGAAGAATCGCGCTCTCGCTCGGGACATCCTAACAAGTTACCAAGCAATCGCGCTCTCGCGTGAGAATTCCCGACCTTTTCAAATCCGGGATCGGCACGTGCCCTAACTGCCAGTTTCTTTTCATGTTTCAAAGTGTTGCTAAGCATTGCTCATGTTCTGTCTCGATATCACAAGGCTGCCTGCCTGACATGCCCTTTCTGGTGTGCATTTGGCGCAACGATGTGGTATAATCAGAATCGAAAACGTGGAAGACGAAACAAAACCGTCCCCAGCGCTTTTACTAACGAGTAGGCTCGGCTTCGAGTGCGGGCACAACGAGCTAACGCCCCGTGGGCGAGCCGAGCCGCCAAAGCCCTCGCACCCCCCTCCGGCGTCCGTCCGGGCGGGCAACTTTTGCGCGCGCGCGGAGATGGCTGCTCGACGTCGAGGGCACTCGGACGGGCCAAGGCGGGGGCACATGCGCGTTCGGGCCCCTGTGGGGGCCCCCGAGGCCTGCCCGAACTAGGCACGTTCCCCCAGGACACAGACCACCGCAGCCCCGACTCCGTGCAGCATTGACTCCTGGACCCATCCCAACTCCTATCTGGCCAATTCTTCGATCTGCATTCAGCTCCATGGGTTTTGCCATCCCCCCAGCCTTCCCCGCGAATATCTGCCAACGGCGTCTCCGAAAGGAAACGGTGCTGCTCAGGACTGGACCCTGGAGGACTGGACAGGTTTGGACTGGACAAGCTGGGCTGGCCATGCTGGACTGGGCTTGACTGGACTGGCATTGGACTGGATTGGGCCGAGCTCACCGGGGAAAGGGCCTGGACGGGTCTCGACTTGACTGGCCTCGGATCGCTTGGTGCACTGGATTGGGCTCGATTGGTCTGGACCAATCGCACGTCTGGACTGGGCTGGCCAGATTGAGCTGGTCTGGGCTTAACGGTTGTCGGCTGGGCTGGACTCGACGGGTGCGGGCCAAACTGGGCTTGGCAAGGCCAGACCAGACCAAACCAGACTGCACTGAACTCGTCTGGACAGGACTGGCTTTGGAATGGGCCAGACTGGAGCGGAGACTCATCTGTAGTGGACTGGACTGGTATGGGGTCTTGGCCCCCCCCAAAGCCAAGAACGCACAAAGACCTTCTCCTCCTCCTCCTCCTCCTCCTCCTCCTCCTGCGGCTCGATCCTCCTCCTCGATCCTCACCCTCGATCCGCCTCCTCGATGCCTCTCGACTCTCTTCCCCCTTCCTCCGTGCCCCCCTCCCTCTCGACCCCCCCCCTCGACCCTCCACCTCCCTCCTCCTCAGTGTGGTCGACATGCATCCCTCCCTGAGCCGCTCATCCCCCCCTGGCCTGACCCCAGTGGTCTTCGGGCCACGGCGGCCGTTCAGGACGCTCCAGGCACCCCCGCAGCGCTCTCGGCGAGGGGAGCCGCTGCTGGAACGCACCCCGAGGCTGGGGAAAACCGGCGACGAGCCGACGACAACGCTCGAAAACATCGAACCTCGAAGCCTCTCCAACCGATCCTCGGCTCCCTCCCCTCCTCGACCCCCTCCCCGACCCCTCCGCGACCCCTCCCTCGACCCCCTGCCTCCCTCGTTCTCTCCCCCTTCCCCCTCGACCCCCTGCCCCTCTCGACCCCCCCCCCTCGATCCTCCTCCTCCCTCCTCCCTGGTCCTCCCCACCCCCCCGATCCTCGGCTCCCCCCTCCCCCCCGCGCCCTCCTCGTCGAGCGCGCGGACCTCCCGCGCTGAGCCCACACGCGGGGCGCCTGGCCAGCCGCCAGCCGGGGCAGCAGGGGCCCGTCCGTCTCCGCCGGCGGCCGCTCTCGCGCGGAGCCTCGGGGGGGGGGGGGGGGAAGGCGAGGCGGAGGCCTGCAGGGGTCCTCGGAGCTTGGCGTTCGGGCCCTGCTCAGTTGGAAGGACACAGAGCGCCCCAGAGCTCATGTCTGCGGTGCTCCTTCTTCTTCTTCTTCTTCTTCTTCTTCTTCTTCCAACCGAGCAGGGCCCCAACGACAAGTTTGTCTTTCATGGCGATTGTTCTTCTTCGGCCAGCGGGGGAGTGATCCGTGTGGGGGGGAGGCTGCGAGGCGTGCTCCTCTCGTGCCCCTCTTCGGGCCCCCGATCAGGGGGCCCCCCTGGGGCCCCCGAGGTGCAGGAGAGGTGGACCTCTCTCTCCCCCCCCATCTATCCTTGTTTGCAAACGGTTGCGCCCTGGCTGGCAGCAGGCAGTGGCAGCGCCACGGTGGAACACTGCAGAATCTGCATGAACGCTACAACGGCTGTGCGAAACCACGCACCTCTCTTCACTCCCTCGTGTATTGCCCCCCCATCAAGCGACGCCCGAGTCGGTGCGGAACATTCGGAAATATGGGAAATCCTGGAAACCTTTTGGAAACCCTGGAACGTATCATTATCATCTCCTCTTGCTCCTCTGAGCCTTTCTTCACCCTCCAATGTATCGCCCCCCCTCCTTACGCAACGCCCTCGTCGTGGCTTCTCTGAGGCTTCCAGAGGCCCTCGGAGCTCTCGTTGACCTTCGTGGGGTTTCTCGAGGCCTTCGGCGCTTCTCTCGCCGCCGGCCGCGGCAGCACGGGCCCGTCCGCCTTTGCCGGTGGCCTCTCTCGCGCGGAGCCTCGGGGGGGGGGCGAGGCGGAGGCCTTCAGAGGTCCTCGGAGCTTGTCGTTCGGGCCTTGCTCAGATAGGAGACACAACGCCATAAAGTTCATGTTTATGGTGTTCTTTCTTCTTGTAACCAAGCAAGGCTCCGCCTCGGGGAGGGGGGGGGGCAGGTGAGGCGGAGGCCTCAGAGGGGCTCTGCTAAACGGGGGCTCTGGCTCTTCCATGTGCCCCCGTCTACCATCATGCCCCGTCTACGGCGCCCAAGGCCCCCTGAACGGGGGGCACAGCCAAACGTAGAAGTCGGGGGTCCCAGTGCCCCCGTTTGCTGTGGCCCCGTCTCTGGCGCCCTGACTGTTGTACCTGCTGTCTGTATCGGCGCAACAGCTTGACGAGCACATGCAGTCGTCTATCGGCGTGAGGCTCGAACCCGCTAAGAGAACGAGGGTGCGGACTAGCGTGACCCATATCGCTGCCCGAGCTAACGAAAATCATCGCTGCGCGTGCGTATTGCTTCATTCCCAATTCGGGGCGGAAGTCTTCGGAGGTATTCGGACTTTGTCGTGGTTTCTCGCAATAATGACCCTTCGCTAGACTGACCTTTGGTGCTGGCCCCAAGGGGGTCGGGTCATTGTTCTTTTGGGTTCTTTTGGAATGAGCTACCGGCATCGCGCGATTGCGCTAGCATCTGAGCGCGCCAGGCTTGGGCCCCCCTTCAGTCGACAGCAACGAATACGCGGCGCACCCTACAATGTGCATTGGTTCCCCAGGGGGGACTGGTCGACCAGACGGCGCGCTTTCCGCCCCAGAACCAGTCCCGAATCCCAGCCTAAATCCCGAATCGTCTGGTTTGAAAATCTTTGGATATCTTTGAATAGCTTTGAATATGTTTGAATACCTTTTTTAACCAATGGGGCCTTTACTATTACAAGTGATTCGAACAATTTCATACACATTCGAGGCCCGCGGGTGGGGCTGGTTTTGGCTATGACGCCGGACCTGGCCAGACATCATCGCGATGCGGCCCGGCAATGACAGACCTCATCGTGGTGGCCCAGGCAGCCTCTGCTTTCTCAGCGCCTCCGAAATGCCATTCGGGGCGTTCGAATCCAAATTGGCGGAATTCCACGGTTGTTCGTTGGCGCAAAAAATCTTGCCGGTGGCGTCCCGCCGATCGTTGATGCGGCGCGGCAGTACTGGCTTGCGCGGCTGCGTTGGGCCCCCACGGGCGCCCTTGAAGCCGCGCACCGAAGGCCACTCTGGCCTAGGGCCACTCCTGCGTAACATATATCCGAAGCTTCCGGGGTCTTTCCGAGGTCTCGCTGGTCTTCGCAGGGTTTCGAGGTCCTCGGTGGTTCTCGTAGGCTTAAGCACGTGTGTTGCTTCCAAAAACCTTCGAACGTTATCGGACGTTCTGCGAGTTTTTGGATAGTTGTCGGAGGTCTTCTGACACGTTCGGATCTTCCCGAAGGCAGTAAACATGGTTTAGGAAATTGGAGCGACGAGTTATTGGATCGAATCTTCGACGGGTGCTCTGCCTCTGGAGGCGTCTAGAAACCCGTGGAGGGGCCTCCGGGAACCTGCCCAAACATCCTGCATATCGAACCTTCCAATCCCAATCTTATTTATTCGTCAATCTGATTCTCCAGGGATTTAGGTCCCAATCCCAATCCCAATCTTATCTTAATCCCAATCTTATCTTAATCCCAATCTTATTCTTATCCCAATGATATTGCCCAATGATGTTGCCTCCAATCCCAATCTTATTCTTATTAGGTCCCCGGGACAAGCAAGCACGGACCCGAACGAACAAGAATCTCCGGGCAAGGGTCGGGGCCTCTGGGGCTGCGGATGGAGAGAACTTCGTCGGCCCAACGGGCCGAGGGCGTGCCAGAATCTCAGACAAGAGGTTTAGTACCAACGGGGGTCCAGAACCTCGAGACGCTCCCAGACGACTCGGTCCAGAGACGGTTCTCGTCCTGGGCGCGGCCTTCAAAGCCAGAACGCTCCACGGTGCCTGTAGGAGAGCCCCAGAGCCCGACTCGGAACAAGAGCGCTCGAAGACGTCCAAAATTCTTTCGTAAGAGTCCACGAGGCCTCCAAAACGCTTTCAAAAGCGCCCAAGGAGGATCCCCAAGAGGGCCCAGAAAAGTTGTTTGATTTTCCACAAGATTCGAAAGACTTCAATGTCCTCGCATTTTGGGCTCCTAAGAGGGCCCAAGACGGCCCAAGAGGGTCTCAAGAGGGGACCACGAAAGGGAGCACGCATAGACATTTCGAGCCCCATGGCCCGAGACGGCACTGGAGACCGCCAACAGGTCCCCAAGAGATTCTCAAGATGCCCCCAACGGGGCTTCCAGGAGACCTAGAGTGGCTCCAACGAGGCCCCCAAGAGTCCCCAAGATACTCCCATGAGACTCCCAAGATGCTCCCTTAAAGGCTCCTAAGAAGCCCCCAAGACTGGCCCCCAAGCGCCCTCCGAGAGGCCTCCAAGAGGCTTCTGGTCCACGACGTCCGCACGGTGGCCGATCCCGAGCCGCGTCCAAGGACCCCCAACAAGATTCCCACGACAAGCTCCAGAGCAGCTGATGCACTTCCGAGACTGCTCACGCAGCGGCTCGGGCAAGCCACCGCCGCCCAGCGGCGCTGTATTGGCAAGGGTCCCGCGGCGAAACGCCAACGATCTGACAACATGGGCTGGCGGAGTGATCGATCGGGGATGGACAGAACCCTCTTTAGTAAAACGTGGTTTAGTGAAAACGACCTCGGGCCCAAACCTGGCGGGCGCAAGCCTGGACAATGACGGCCGCGGCGCCCAATCGAGAACCGAAAACTGACAATTCACTAATCGACGTGTCAGGGTTGGTGTTCTGTCCACCCCCGAATTGAAGCGATGGAATAACATCGTCGGATGTCAGGGCCTGGGGCATCTCCAGGGACCTCTGGAGATGCCCCGACGACCCAGACCTCTCCAACGTCATGGATACAGTGGAGGCGAGTCCACAAGAAACCTTCCACAAGAAACCCAACCCCGAGACCCCACGACGTCCATTGGTTTTTGGTGTGGGAGCGTAGCGCTCTCCACAGCAAAACCATCGAAACCCAGGAAGCCCAGGGCACCCTGGAGGCAAGCAAGGTGTTTCTTGGCATGGGTCTCCACTGTAGATTCGTTATGTTTCCGGCCATTTTTGGCCTCCTGGGGGCTGCTTTCGGGCCCACGGGGCTGTCAAAAAGCAGCCCGAGCTGAAACAACGGTCCCCAGAAAAGGGGTCGAGACGTTCGCGGGCCAAGTTCCGGAAGAACGTCGGAGGTCCAGGGAGGAGGAGGAGGAGGTGGAGGAGGAGGAGGAGGAGGAGGAGGAGGAGGAGGACAAGGAGGAGGAGGAGGAGCAGCAGGAACATGAGGAGGAGGACACGACAAGACAAGAGTACTTACGTGCCAATTGTTCGATGTCTGACTGGCTGAGCTGTCTTGCGCAGCACTTGAATATGGGCATGGCATGTGGATTTTTTTGTTGTTTTTTTTGTGAACGCAAAGAATTAGCGCCTACCAGCGGCTCTGTGGGGGGATTCGGCTGGCTTAAAGCGGGGTCACACTTGGCGGAAAAGGGCCCCTTCCGAGGCCCTCCAGCGGCACCTCAGCCCCTGGAAGCTCGAATTTCAAGATCACGCCACAGAAACCATCGGCTCGTGCTGCTCACAATAGGGCTCATGTGACTCGCAACGGGAGTTGTATGCAATAAGCATATGGGGAAACGCACTGGGAAAAGGAGGAACTGTGAACAATAGGAGGGAGAAGTTGAGGTCAAAGCGGAAGAAGCGGGTGAAGATATCATCGTATGAATCTGCAAAGAGGCAGATCCCGGGTGGCCAAGATCTCTGCTGGCGGCACTGGCATTGGAAGTGCGCGCTGCAGGGCTACCTTTTCGGGTTCAGAGCTGCTGCCAGCGAAGGAGGTGCAAGAAGCACGACGCTTGCTCTGCTCGCTCGCCCCCCATGCCAACCCCCTCCCAAGAGACGCGCCCAGCACATGGGACTCGCCCAATCCGTCCCCCGTCCTGACCACTGCACGGGCGTGGGCTTCGGGTGCTCACCCGCTGCTCGGCACGTCCCCTCCTGCAGGAGAGGAGCCCAGAATCGAACCGATGAGTCGCATCGGCGATCGAAGGGAATCGGATCGGTGGAACATGGCAGGCTGGCAGGCCTCCAGTGAGAGAAGTCCGAGCCCCGATCGGCATCCCCAAATCGCATCGCATCGGAATTGGACGCCATCGAAATAGAACCGAGCCGGAGGCATCGAGCCGAGCTCTCTCCTGCCCTGCCCTGCCCTGCCCCCCCACCCGCTGGGCATCGCCTCCCCCCCCCACCCCGGAGGCGCTGCTCCCGCAACTCCCCCGCCTCTGCCTGCTGCGCCTCTCACCCTCGCCGGTTGCCCCCCCCGAAGCCCTGCGAATTTTGGGAAACGCAGTTTTCCTCAAAAAACCGTACTCAATCCCGGACGACTGCCCCCCCTGCCTGTCCGTCCATCCCAGCCCTACGCTATCTCTCGTAATGTGCTGCATGGGAGAACGACCCACTCCCCCCCCCCCACAAGAAGAATCCCTGGACAGCCCCCCCCGGACAAGCCGTGCGGATTTACGACGACGAGACGACCTACCCCTTGGGCAACCCGTGGGACAACCTGGCGGGGATCCGGACACCCCCACCGGACAAACCCCCTTGGACAAGCCTCCCCTGGGATTTTTCTGCCATGAGATAACATGCCTGACAAATTCCCTTCCTGCCCTCCTTCCCTGGCTCTCTTCGCTCCTCAGCACAAACTTTCAAGCTAGATGCTTGCCGCTTGTCGTAAGAACTCCACTGTTCTTCATTACTCGTCTTTTTACAGCTCACGCCACACCAGCTGGCTGCTAGTATTCAGCTGGAGCGGACACGAACAGCCTCAAAACGACGCGGAGGAAGAATACTGCTGCACACTCGTGGCACGCGTATCTTGCCAACATGCAGACGCATAAGCATCAGTACAATCGTCCACCATAGTGTTGTTCACAAGTCCAGCACGAGAACGTGCAGATGGAATTTTCGTCGACTGAGCTGGTGCGCTGCAGAAACATGACATGCGCATGACCACCCAGAGGCGCGGTACTGAAACATTGTCAGGCAGTATCGAGGTGCACTGCACATGTTTTGTGTGGCTTTGCCGCCACGTGTTGGTGTCTCGCAGTTGGAATTGGCCATCCTCCCACGGTGCCTGCACGCCTCACGCACATGTGGAACACAACAACACAACATAGGGACGGTGGGCGAGAGACCAGCCGGACAACCTCAAGACGACCAAATAATACACATGGCGGGTTCTGAAATCCTGAAACCAAAAACGTTATCATCTCTCCGAGGGCAACTTTGTACTTTCTCCAGCTTCCGCCGGCCTTCCGCCAGCGGAGCCGCCTCCGTCTTACTTCCGCTGCCTTCCGCCGACCTTCCGCCGAGGAAGAGATGGCAACTCCTTCGATCTTCGAAGGCGAGGTCCTTTCTGGAATCTCCCACATGATATACTCGCGTGGCCAGGCGCGCCGCTATCCAGGAATTCAGATGTCCAGGTTGGTGCGGATTATGCGTTCCACAAGCGAGATGCCACGCTCCTGCCTTAAAGGGCCCAGGGTCATGCGCTGCATCTGAGGTGGGAATTGTGAGCGCGATGCAGAGCTGCGCATTGAAGCTCCCAATCCTCACCGCGGCATCGGCCGCCTGATTGAGCAACATGCTAAGAATGCGAGATGGGCTGCGCACAGAAATGGCAGCCGCAATTCAAGTAACTAGTGGAAACGAGGAGCTGGACTCTTCAACAGGACGCCAGCCGTGCCGCCCGTAAAGCCACCCGTGGTCTACAGGACGGCGAACGCTTCAGATGGAGACCGGCCCCCAAGATCTGGGGCCAAATGGCGTGCACCTTCAACAACGAACCGAAAACGAACGTGCGGGCCAAGGCAAGCGTGCGCGGGCGAGGACACGGACGACCCTTTCGGCGCTGCGCTCTACAAGGTGTGTCATCGCAAGTGCTTTACTGGTACGGTGGGGGCATTGGATATGGAACCGTTGGAGAAGAAATCCAGGGTCTGGAAGCCAGTGGAAGTCCAATCGTGGAGTGGCAATGGGTATCACCGCCAACCTTATGAGATAAGGAATCCTCCAGGGTCTGCAGCCTCCTGGGCATTTTCCTTAACGAAAGTCCCCACCGTATCGTCACCCTCGTGCTCAAACTGCACGCACACCAGCCCCAGCTGTGGACGCTGGGGCTGGAGCAGGCCAGGAGGGGCCCTGGGTTTTCTCAAGACCTAGCCAGAACCGCCCACGGAAGGCCAGGGGCAACTGCCAGAGCGGTGTACGGGGGGTCTGCCCAGGTGGGGTGCTCGCGACCGCATCGGACTCGCACGGGCCTGGCCGCCGAGAAGGGCCAGCACACTTCGTGCCCTGGCTGCGTGCGCCTCTCTGACGTCGGGGCAGACTGGGAAGGGTTATCAAGGCGCTCTCCTCGCACCCTGGCTGCGCGAACAAGAGCACCCGCATCAACACAATCAGGCGTCAGGGCAAGCCGGGAGAGGAAATAACAGCTTCCACGGGCCAGCCGTCAGCAAGCCGCCGATGGCCAGAGTGGCCCGCAGAGGCGTGGGTCAAGAGGAGCCCTGCGCCGCCGCGCGTCCTCTGGCCGCAAGTAGCGGGGAAACTGCATCTGCAGGGGAAGGGGAAAACGCCGACCGCATGACAGTCGCCACGATGCCTTTCGTTGGGGACTGGGCCTGCGTGGGAGATCCCTTCAAGGCCGCGAAGTGCGCAGACATACGCCAGGTGAGACACATCTCGGCTGCGCAGCGCCAGACCATGACGTCGCAGAGAGGACTCAAGGAGAACGAAGACCACATGGAAGCAAACCCACTTCACGCACGGATCATACCCCGCGTCTCCCATTACCAGTCCAGAGCTGCCTGGTGTGCATGCCACGCGGCACAGTGGCTGGCGAGTACGTGGACTCATTTGAAAGATGGTCGGATTTAGATATGCACGTGTCTCGTGAAACACAACCACGGGCCCCGCGAAAATGTGTGTGTGTGTGTGTGTGTGTGTGTGTGTGTGTGTGTGTGTGTGTGTGTGTGTGTGTGTGTCTGTGTCTGTGTCTGTGTCTGTGTCTGTCTGTGTGTGTGTGTGTGTGTGCGTGGGTGGTGCGCGGAACTGTTGTCAAGAAGTCACACAGCACAAGTAAACCTGCCCTTTCGTTATCACTCGGTGTCTCGAGGGGCGCAGGCAGAGACGGAGGATCGGACTCACGAGCCCTTCAATCCGCAGAGAGGAGCGCGAGTTGAAGGAGCCCTTGAAATTTGCGCGGCCTCGTGGGGACCACCTTTGGGAGCCTTGCGTGGAGTTCCACCTGGGCGCTGCGTAACCAACTACTTTCCTTCGTTTACGTGCGGCGCCCGAGGTCGACGCAGCCGCGTTGTGGCACTCTCTCGTCACCCTCTGGCCACAGAGCACATGCAATAATTGTTCGAACGACACGCAGGCGTGCGCTTCAGAAGCAGGGGTCGCCTCGCTAGCCGAATAAATGTCCGCCACCGCGCGTACAACTCTTGGAAGGTCGCGCCTGATCTGCACCAAGCTGCCATTGATTACAATCGCGCCCTCGCGAGGTGACTCCGCCACTGACACGACTGGCCAGCAGACGAGAATTCTGAAGGCGCTGTGCCCGTGCTTGAGCGAAGAAGCTTTTGAACTAAGCAAGCTGGAGACAAAATGACGACGACCACATCCTGACATCTCAAGGTAATCAAGCAATGGAACCAGATGAGGACGGCCTAAACGTTTCCACGGCCGTAAAACATACGTTACCATGCAGAACATGATCCAAGGTCGAATGGCGAAACGCCGCTGGGTAACTTGTTGCAACCTGTCCAACCATGTTCTTCCGACACATGTCAAGTTAGTTCGGCAAAGCGGCCGCTCGAAAACATCTGGACTGTCTAAACAATTACAGGCTCCCTCTTTCTGAGCAGCTGGGACATATTCGATACATCCTGTCGTGACCCCAATTAAGGGAACGCTTCCAAGTAGGTAACTCAGCAAGGAAGGCACTGGTTGGCGTCGCCTGGCAGTGCATTCATTTGCGCTGCTTGGCGTTGACTTGCATTGCTTGACACTGCTTGGTGTGGCCTGACGTTGCCTTGCATTGCTTGGCGTTGCTTTGCGTTGCTCGGCATTTCTTGGCATAATTTTGCACTGCTTGGCATGGCTTTACATTAGTTTGTATGTCTTAGCAGTGCATACACGCCAGCCTGAAGAAGCGGGTAGAAACATGAAGTAGGAAGGCGTTGAAGTAGATTGGACTTCCGCCCACCCCCTGAAGCGGAGGAAATAAGGAAAACCGCTCGGCTCTTGAAGTAGGATTTGGGCATCCAAAAATACCTACTTTCAACGACCAGCGTGTAGCAAGCAGCCCCAGGACCGCCTCTCCAAAACTTCTGACGCCGCAGCGCGGCAGGGGCAGTCTGCACGCGCGCTCGAGCGGGCCAGGAGGAGGCAGGCGCTAACTTCAAGTCGGGCGTGTCCCCCTACAGGGGGATTTTCGACGAAAATTAAAAAATACCCCAATAATACTCTCAAATGGACAAAAAATATTCAAAACATAGTCCACACACAATTTTTTGACTATTTTTGAATTTTCTCCCTGTAGAGGGACAGGCCCGACTTAACGCTAACTGTCCGGCGGCAAAGAGGGGGGAGCGAGAGAACAGGCGGGCGGCCGCGGGAAGGAGAAAGAAGGCCGCCTCTCCGAACACAGAAGAGAAACAGGACCAAGGAAACCGCGGAACCCGGACCAGCAATTCGCCAGCGATGCGCCATACTAGCGCTGCAATCGATGTGTATAGAAATCCGACCAAGGCAAAAGGAGTGTACGTGATGAGAAGCAGAGTGAGGATGAGGGGAGGGGAAGGGGAGGAGCAGAATGATGATGAGGAGGAGGAGGACGACCACTAGGGATGCTCAGGGAGGAAGATCGACCTGAGGGAGGAGGATGAGGAGGGAGAACGGCCTGGAGGGAGGGAGAACGACCGCAAGCTCTCCAGAAACTCCGTCGGAAGCGTCTTCCAGAAGCTTCCAGAGCTCTTTCGAGAGACCTTCGGACGGCCTTCTGGCGCTCTGCTATCCGGGTTTTGGACTCCACAAGTCAGGACACACGGCCAGAAAGAAGTCCAGGGACTCCGAGGATCCCAAGCCCACGTTGGCCAGCGCAGGCCGCGCACCCACCGTCTGTTCAGAAACAACTCCGCCGACCATTCGTCGTGTGTGAGACGCCGTCGTCGTCGTCGTCGTCGTCGTCGTCGTCGTCGTCGTCGTCGTCGTCGCCGTCGTCGTCGTCGTCGTCGTCGTCGTCGACAGTCCCAAGGAAATTGAGGAACAATGAAAGGCACGTCGTAGTTAAGTCGATTCCCTTGCTTTTTCCAGTCTCTGCTGGGTGATAGGTGGGTGGGTGCGGGGAGGGGTGTGGTGGGGGGGTGAGTGGGTGGGTGGGTGGGAAGGGTGTGTGCGGGGGTTGGGAGGGGTCCTGGGCCAGAATGCTGCCCCCCACGGGGTCCCTCGGAGCTTGACCTGGGGGGGTCGCAAGCGGGGCACCCAAGGAGGTCCCGCCTTCAAGGTCGGCGGCGCTGGCCGTGAGGCCTTCGCAGTAAGAACCCCTCAGGCAAATCAAATGTGGGAACTGAAAGGGAACAAAGCCGAAGAACCTGGGGAAGGCGGGTAACCGGATGAAGGCCCCAGGCAACCCTCATTGGAGAATAATGAAGCAACAAAGCCAAAATAACGCAGGGAAGCCGAAGAACTCGGAGCAACACAGGCCGGTGCAGGCCCACCACCCACAGGGTGCACAAAAACGAAACAGGAGCCCCATCGGGCAAGCCTGATTGGGGAAAAAGTGTGAAGAAGCTCTGACACAAGTTAGCTGGTACATGCCTGCTCGCTGGCTCATGCGACGCGCTGCACGCGTACGTGGCAGGAGCGGACAGACCTATCGTGCCCATGAGCTTGTCCAGGGCAGTCACAGCTCTCTGCACCACTGCCTTCGTCAGGAAACTATCCCATACATAGAGAGACTCTGCACGTGCGTCTATTCATTCCTTCCATTCCAATGCACTGCTACTGCATGTGGAAGCCTTCGGTCGCTATCCTGAACCAACTACTGTGCCATGCCCCAGAGCCACTACTTTCTCAACCACCCGTTCTTGCCCCTCTCCGTAATCCGTTTTGTCGAAACTGCAACTTCATTGGATTCAAAGCGAACGGTGCCGGCAGAAACCACACTCACAATATCAGACGTAATGTATACCTTGAATTATCGCCCCGACTTTACAGACACCCAGACAAACCAGACCAAGGAGTCCTTACTGGAGCACCACGGGAAGTGAGGCCTTCTGAAGTACAGGTCCAAGTGCGGGGGGCACTCCGACTCTGATGAAGCAAGGTCCCGTCATGTTCGCACGAGGGGACACCCCGCGAGACTCATCAGGGGCCCAGAACGTGGCGGCAGCTCTTCGTCTGCACGTTCTCGAGGAGGCGAGGTTGCACCGGGCCCGCGTGTGGCGAAGGGGGGAGAGAACCCTCCGCAGCTTCATCGGTGGGCTCAGAGAAGGGCTTCACGGTTCTACGTTTGGGAACACACACGCGTGGAAGCGAGGTCGCTAGAGATCCATGGTGGGAGGGAAGCCAGGACTGCAATGAGGAGGAGGAGGAGGAGGAGGAGGAGGAGGAGGAGGAGGAGGAGGAGGAGGAGGAGGGGAGGAGGAAGAGACACGCAACCGACTCAAACGAAGATCCAACAAAGGAGTGTTGCAGAACGCATCATGGTTTTGGTTGATTTGGTGTTGCTACCCCTGAGGGCCAATAACGCCCCCGTGACCCCGAGGTCCCCGAAAGCCACTCAGACTGCCCCAAGGCCAAGCGCCCCAGAGGCTGCACACAAGACCTCCAAGAGGCGACGCAGCGGCCTTGCAACGCTACAGGTGTGCCACGTTACAGCGCTGCCCCGCAGCTTCTCCGAACGCGGTAGCGGATGCGCGAGACAGCGCGACCAGGCATTCTGGGAATCAAGATTTGGATGGCGACATGGTCTGGCCTTTCCGCGCTGTGGGCAATGTACGCTTGTACGTCGTAGCGATGTGATCTTCGGCCTCCTTAGCTCGGACCATCGACAACCAGCGGGCCTGCCGCCAGCCCTCACCACCCAAAGGGCCTCGACGGCCATCGGAACGCCGAGTAGAGAGTCCCTCTCGTGCTTCCGCTCTGAGCTCCAAGACAGACCAAGCGAACCTGGCGCGACTCCGACGAGTAGGAACCAGATCCCAGGAAACAAGACCCAAGGAACCAAGACCAATATGAACCGAGGAACCAAGGCCAAGGAACCAGGGAACCAAGGCCAAGGAATCAAGACCAATGAACCGAGGAACAAACACCAAAGAACCACGATCCCAAACCAAGGAACCTAATAAGCCTGGGCAACGCCTTGCAAAGAAACAAGACCACGGAACACCGGGAAACACCCTTGCAAGGAAACAACACCAACAGCCGTGGGGAACCCGGGCGTAAGCCGGCGAACGCACCCACCGGTTCTTCACATCCAAGCAACAGGCCCTAAGTCACAGTCTTCTTGGGGCAAAACCTGCGATGTTTTTTTTCAAATCATCTTGTGGTATGGGTCCTCGTTTTGAATCTGTAGGGCCTCGCATCCACACCACCTCCTTCCGCCTCCCGCCTCCCGCCTCGTCCTCGCCGTCCTCGCCGTCCTCGTCGTGCTCGTCGCCCTCGTCGTCCTCGTTGTCGTACTCCTTCTCTTCCTCTTCGTCCTCCTCCTCCTCCATCTCCCTGCCTCTGCTCTCATCGGAGCACCCCTCACACGTTTCGTGGGCCCGTAGGAAGCTCCACGGAAAGCCCCAGTGGCAAGATGCGCATGGCGTCCCCCCGCCAATTTCGGCACACCCCTCATACATACGTTTCGTGGCACCAGAAGAGCTCCACCGAAGGCCCCAGCGGCAGGATGCGCATGACGTCCTCCCAGCCATGTAGGCGCACCCTCACACGCGTCGTGGCCCCGTTGGAAGCTCCACCGAAGGCCCCGAGTGGCAGGGCACGCTCGGCGTCTCCTGCCAATTTCGGCGCACCCCTCGCACGCTTCGTGGCCCCATAGGGCGCTCCACCGAAGGCCCCTGGTGGCAGGGTGAGCATAGCGTCTCCCCACGCGTCTCGGCACACACCTCACACGCTTCGTGACCCCATGGGGAGCTCCACCGAAGGCCCCAGTGGCACGGTGCGCCCCCATAGGGATCTCCACCGAAAGACCCAGTGGCAAGATGCGCATGACGCTCCCGCGCGCGTTTCGGCACGCCCCTCGTTGCGTGCCCTCCATCCGCTGCCCAGGCTCCGTACTCTCGCGGCGCGCTGCTTCTGAGGAGCGGGTCATATCCTGCGTTTCTCGTAACTGCATGTGGTTGTGTCCTCCGCCAAACTAGCTTTCAGCACGGGGTTCCCGAGACCTCTCGATCCCTTCCGAGGGACCAGGCTTTCATTCCGCGACTTTTTTCCGATCCTGGAGGAGGAGGAGGAGGAGGAGGAGGAGGTGGTGCCCAGAAAACGGCTCGCCAAAGCTGGAAGCGAGGACACATCGCCGGCTTTGATAACAGGCACGGTCTCGGAGGTCTCGGTGCTGACTCAAGTTATTCGTTGGTCCTCGGCTGCGCCCTGCACTGCCGCGAGAGAGAAGGAGACGATGATGAGGACGAGGAGTGAGGATGATGAGGAGGGGGGGGAAGGAGTGGGAGGAGGGAGATGTGGAGGAGGGCTAAGAGGGAGGAGCAGGGAGGGAGGGAGGCAGGAGGCTGAGGGATAATGGTAATGAGAAGGAGGAGGAGGAGGAGGAGAAGGAGGAGAAGGAAGAGGAGGAGCAGCGAGGAGGAGGAGGAGCGAGGAGGAGGAGGAGGAGCGAGCGAGCGAGCGAGCGAACGATCGAACGACGACCACTGGGGAAAAGCGTCCGGGCCTCGCTGAGACCAGGTGGGTGAGGCCGTGGCCTCTGGATTATGCTAACTGCTGTGTCGCGTGAGACAGATCCGCTACCTTTCTCCCTGGCACGTTGGGGTGTGCTGGAATGCCAAATGCTGTCTGGAAGGGTTTCTGCAGCCTTCGACAAGCCCCCCTCTATCCCTGTCCACGCTGCCCCACATGAATCGCCCCCCCCCCTCTCGAGTTCACAATCCTTAATAAAATGCTATAGATCCGAGCTCCCAAGGCCAAGATGCCTCCAATATGGCCTCGAGACGGCCCCACAGGCCGAGACGTCCCAAGAGAGCCCCAAGATTCTTTCCAAGATAGCCTCGAAGGGCAAACGTACGAGTTTCCAATATTTCCAATGTGTTCAAGGTTTTCCAGTGTTGTCAAGGTTCTCAATCTTTCCAAGGTTGCTTAAGGCTTTCCGATGCTTTCAAGGTTCTCGCCTTTTCGAGCTTCCGACGCCCCAGGACGGCTCAAGTGACCCCCAAAAGAACCTCAAGACGGCCGAGACACCCAAGCGGGCCCCAAGACGGCTCCACGACGGCCCAAGAGGCGCCCAAGATTGCACAGCATCAACATCAACATCAATATCGCATAATCATCGTCATCATCATCATCATCATCATCATCATCATCATCATCATCATCATCATCATCATTATCATTTACTTCATCATCATCATCACCATCACCATCAACATCATCATCACCACCATAAGCATCATCACCATCACCATCATCACCACCATCATCATCACCATCACGACCAACACCATCACCATCACCATCACCATCACCATCACCATCACCATCACTATCATCATTATCATCATCATCATCATCGTCATCGTCATCATCATCATCAACATCATCATCGTCATCATGATCAGCATCGACAACAACATCACCGTCATTACCATCATACCCATAACCAAAGCTATCAACACCATCATCACCATCACCATCATCGCCATCCTCATCAACAATATCATCATCATCATCATCATCATCATCATCATCATCATCATCATCATCATCATCATCATCATCATCATCACCATCATCATCATCATCATCATCCCCATCAACGTCCTCGTCCTTCTCCTCATCACCACAGTCATCAACATCATCATCACCATCGTTCTCATTCTCGTTCTTTATCATAACCATCATAATTATCATCATCGTCGTCGTCATCATCACCACCACCGCCATCATCATTATCAGCATCATCGCCCTCGACACGGGCTCAAGACTTCGCACACGCACTATCAAACAAGACAGCCGAGGTGTCAGACGTGACGGCGTCAATCACTTTGCTCCCCAAACCCTCCGAGACGGCCCTACGAAAAGAGCACCACGTGTTCGGGCTCTCCGAAGGCTAGAGATACAACATGTCACACGTTAGGATCTCCGTGCTCTTTCTCGCAAAGACCACCGAGAAAGCTGGGCTGGCACGGTGGCGGGACTTTTCGCAGACAGCTGATAAATATTGACAGCAGGAGAGGAGGATGAGGAGGAATGTCGGGTTCAGTCCTGGATGTCGGAGAGTCGGCGACATGTGTTCGTGCGTGGCTGGTGGGAGCTTGAAGTGCACGTTGGCGAATATCGTGTATGCTGGTGGATTGCTGCATTGTCTTCGTCTCGGTCAACCAGCTGCGCGTTTGTGACGTCGTCCTCGAACGCGGGCCATCTAATGGACCTTGGGTTGTCCAATTCAGCCTTGAATCGAGAAGGGAGCCCTTTCTCTCGGCTGGCCGCTGCTGATGGATGCAGGTCGGGAGATCTTCGGCGTAGGAGCGTGGTAAATTGTTGAGGACGTCGTTCGACCTGTTGGGTTGGCCTCCGTGGTGGCGTTGACCGCGTTGTCGTGGGTTGGCATTGGGTTGCCACTGTGTCACCTTCCAAGTCCACCTGGTCTCATGATGGTGGGCGACCTTCGACGCTATGCGCCATGCCGTGCGCTTCATGACTTGCTATGCGATCTGCATGGGTCATTTGGTATTGTATGCCCATGGCT